ATATATATATATATATATATATAGATAAAATAGACAATGACTGATATTCGAAATTAACCTCATATATCGTCCAATTGAAGATCTTTGACGGGTGAAATATCATCGGTTGTCCAACATCGTCTTTCAAACGGAGCAGCAAATGTCAATTCCTGCGGAAAGGTTCATCGTGCATCCGACTGCAACGGCACGAAATTGCGACGTATCTGTCTCCGAGGACCAAGCTCGGGAACAATGCGACGATCACGCATCAATTTGCTCGTGCAACCGTTTCGAATAACCCCCTTACGCCGCGTACAGAATCGGCAACTAATCCAGCATTGTGTGTTGAGCATGATGCGATTATCGCGTTATATCATGAGGGAACGTCGAGCTGTGAAAGCATCGTTGAACCTTCGGTCAAAACTACACCGACACGCGATTTAAAAACAAGCCAAACTTTCATTCCAATAATGTTTATCACCTATAAATGAAATCCAATATTTTGAAAGGTTTTAATTTTTAACGGAATAATAATGTATAATAATGTAACAAATTATGATTTTGTTCGATATTGTTTGTCATCAAATCATTTTATTTCTTGCTTCGTAAAAGTGAATTCGAGGTTAGGATTTTTCTATGTTTGTGCTATACGTCGAAGTTTATTTGCAAATAAACTTTTATTATTATTATTATTATTATTCGTTATTATTCGTTAATTTTTGATTAAGTTTCATTTATAAGAGCGAATTTGAGGTTAGGATTTTTCTGTCTTCGTATTATACGAGGAGACGAATGATGCCGAAACATTTCTTGTTTATTATAATTCAGGATTGATATTATGTAAATTTTAGAGTAACGGAATTCTGAATGGTAAAAGAAAAAAAAAAAGTAACGTTCTCCTTAAGGCGTGTTTCCGTACACATATTCGTGCAAAGTTAGACTCTTGTTCTGTGTCAAAATTATATTCTTACGTGCATGCAGTTAGAAAACAGGGTAACGGTTCGTTGAAATCGTACGTGTAAGAATGCGGTCTAAGCCTGCGAAAAATGTACCTTTAAGGCATGTTTCTACAAGTGTAGCGTACAACGTTGGGACGCAGCGAGAATGGAATGCACGTTATTCTGGATCAAAATCTCGTACGTGCAACTGGAAGACAGGATGAGGAGCATTCATACGCTATATGTATTTTACATGGTGCATTGCGCACATGGGAACGAGACCTAAAGATTTCTACGAAGAGTAGCCGGGTGCAATTCATTTTTCAAAGAAAAGAGCGACTCCCCTTCCCCTCGTGGCGTTATCATCGCGTAACACACATTTTACGCGTGTTATCATAACGAGTTTCCGTTCAGATTATGTGGCGGAACAAAGTTGCAGAAGCAATATGTATATCCTTTAATATCCGTATTTATCAATACGGATCGTCTATAATTTATGCGTTTGGTGGTTACATACGATACGCGAGATACTTTCGATAAAAGTATAAGAAATATTTGATTATTTATCGTTTCTAAGAAATGGATTTATATGGATTTATATCCGCGTTTTAAAACGTGGAATGCGGTATCATCATACACATTCATAAAACTTGGAGAGCAAGATGCTTTTAGATCTGGGAGCGGCTTTCGAATACGATTTCTATCTTCGTTCCCCCCATTTACCATACTAAGACCATAAAATACTAGCCTAATTAAATACCAAAATTATTTTAATCCTTAATAGATAAAACAATCTTAAAGGAATTTCAACTTCGTAAAATCTCGCCAAAGAAAATTTTTTAAAGCTTCAAAAAACTTTTCGCTTTAAAAATGAAATCTTAAAAAAGAACGTAAGAAATCTCGATTCAAAAATCTATTCAAAAACATATATCCTTATCCGCGTTATTTATTCAAATGTTGTATTCGCGCGCACAACTCGAATTCACTTCCTGTTACCAAGCGATCCCCATCGTTCGCCATGTTGGTTTTCATTAGGCACACTTTCTTGCAACCCCTAGAGAGAGAGAGAGAGAGAGAGACGCCTCGATTGGCGCCGATTGTCACCGCGTCATCGGTGGACGATGATCGATGAATTTCCACCGCCCGGATGGATTTCTCGACTTCTCTCGCGAGAGAAATCGATAACGGATTGCCTTCCTCGCCCCTCGCCATCCTTTCGCCCGCGCTGCTCGCGATTCATCGCGCGTCCAAAGTAATTTCATTCGAAAGTTCGTGTCGGGTAGGGGTCAGCCACGATTCTCGTGAATTTCAATGAAACTCGTTAGAAGTGTTCCGCTTCCGCGGTCTCGCTGTTTGGTCCATTTATAGGATCGTTAAGGTACATAACGGGCCATGACGAATGAAATACGCCCAACGTCGTATGGATTACGACTTTTCGAAACTTGCTATCACTCTGATGATAATAATAATAATAATAATAATAATAATAATAATAATAATAAGTGGGTTGCCGCGCGTAAAAAGAAACTTCAACGAACATAGCCCCTATATTCCAATGGAAAACCGCCATTTTAAACTGGTGGAGCGTCCGTTTTAGTGACGACATTGTTTTCGAAGAAGATAATACAGTCGAAGTTTATAACGTTGGAGAAAAAAATTTTAAAAACTAGATGCATATCGAAAACTTGTACCGATCTATACTATATATTATTTAAGACGATTCTTGAAACTGAAGATCAGATTTATTAGATTAAGGTAATT